GTTCATCTCAGGAGAAGAATAAATTCCTCAGCTCGAACCGCAGAGCCTGGCCTGGCCTCGGCTCCTCTCCGCCTTGCCACAGCGCCTGCACCCTCCCGTCTCCGTTTCTTGAAACTTCCATGCTTCTCCCATCCCTTCCAGGATCTTAACACGTGCTGTTCCGTCCCTGTGGGTGCTCTGTCCCCCCAACACGCCCACTCTCGCCCCCCCCCCCATCACCTTCCCAGGTGTTACGTCACACCCCGGAGTGAAACCAGATGCCTCATGAAATGATACCACGAAGCAGCCTGCTTTTCACCGTTCTACGATTAACGAGTGCACTTTCAGGTTTATCTGGGCTAATGGGAGATCACCATCCATCTCCTTGATTGGATGGTAAATTCTCAGGGGTGCGAAGGGCCTGTCTCTGGTTTTGCTCACAGCTGTCTCCGGAGAGCTTATTCCTGGGCCTGGAGTCACACCCTTTTAAGATGTTTTATGAAGAAACAGATTTGCGAAGAATGAAACTTCATCCCTGGATTTGTCTGGAAGGCTTTCTAGTTACCATAATGGATGCTGAGGAGACTCTGTGAGCCCTTTTGGCCAAGACACCATCCTACAAAAGGAGACTGCGTGGGCTGGACAGATGTGAAAACGACCCCCACCACGCCCCCCGCTGGGGGAGTGGCTCCCAGCTGCAGCGGCCCAGAGGCCACGCCCCAGAGGCCACGCCCCCTCAGTTTCTCCACAGCAGGAAGGCCCACGCCTAGAAATCCTGCAGTACGCTTTTGAACATCACTTCTTGGGGACAACCTCAACTGGAAATGGGAACTTTTTTCCCTCTTGACACTGACAGACAACATCAGCGAGGCGGGTTTTATCCAGGTTATTCACTGGATATTTAGGCGAGTTTTTAACACATGTTTACAGCACATTTAAAGATGGAGTGAATTAGATACTACAGCAGATGTCTGCATTGCCATTGGGTGAGAATCCTGGTCATTGTAGGCTCTTGTGTTTCGAGAGCCCAGAAGTGGGAGTGTAGTATGTGCATGGGTGTGTTTTTCTGGAGAGGGACTCCATGGTCATGATCACTAAAGGGCTCTGGATGACGGAGGCCAGGAACCAGCAAACTGCAGTCTAAGGCCTTTCCTGGTTCTAAAATTATGTACATCTTTTTTCATTTTAAAGATTTTATTTATTTATTTTTAGAGAGAGGGGAAGGGAAGGAAAGAGAGAGGGACAGAAACGTCAGTGTGTGGCTGCCTCTCCCATGCCCCCCCACCAGGGACCCAGGCTTGTGCCTTGACTGGGAATCGAACTAGTGACCCTTTGCTTCACAGCAATCCACTGAGCCACACTAGCTGGGGCTAAAACTACATGCATCTTAAACTCGGATGCTAAATTGGTGATGCGATTGGGAAGTGTGCTGGAAATCTGGATCCCTTGCATTTGCAATGCCAACTATCTGCCTGGAAAACAAAACTCCAGGTTTTATCCAAATGTGTGAAGTCACACACATATAGTCTAAGAACTTGGCCCTCATGTTAACTCCCGTGTTTGTGTGATTGCTGCTGGCTTCTAATTGTCCCTGTGCCCAAGCACAGCCCACCTGAAGGTCGTAGGGGACCTGTCGCAGCAGGGAAGGCCAGGACACTGCACAACCCACAGTTCTTGATTGACAGCCCATGTACCTCCTTGCTCGTCCCAGTGAAACTGCCTTCGTTCTATAAACCAAACCTGACAGAAGCTGAGTCAGAGCCCCACCATTACCTGCCTACCCAGCTCACCTCTGGACAGAGAGGTGGGGGAAGCTAGGGCCATATGTGTCTCCCCCCTCCCCCCCACCACATAGAAGGTGTCTTATTCGCCGGAACACCTGCATAGGACAGAGGCCAGCAGACAAGTCCGGAACCACACCCAGCACGCTCTTGGGGGCCCTGCGAGGGTCGTCCCCCAGCCCCCCAGACCGCTTGGTGGTAGGGAGTTAACATTGCAACAGGCACAGTGAGAGGTGTGGCACTTCGAGTCCTCACACGCTCACTCCAGAGGGTTTGAACCGCGGACTCCTCAAAGGTTACCCTTCTTTGCTCCTTTTTTGTGTTTTTCGACAGCCACAAGATAAACACAGAAATGGCCACCCCTGTGTAGGGCAGCCCCAATGGCCCGAAAACATATCCTTCTCTGCTTTGTGCCGCTCTCCACATGATGTGAATGCAGGAACCCCTTCCTTCTCCCCCTCAATAGAATTCCTCTGACGTCAAACCACAGGGACAGAGCAGGGGAATAAAATCAGCAAAGGACACACGTAACTGGCTCTCACCCTTTGCAAAAACACCACTAGGTCCTAGCTATGCAGTGCCTGCTGATTTCTTTGGGCCTCCCCCCAGAAATATCTAACTTAGAGCCTGGGAGCATCTCCTGAGGGACGCTTCTCCCTGCCCAGCTCGGTGGCACCACTGGGTGGGAGGATACAGGGTCTGTTTACACTATTCTCTTTCTCCAGGCCCGAGGCGCGGTGTTTTGGACTCCTCACCGCCGATCAATTTTTCAGTCTGCTGCTTTATCTACCTGACAGGAGGACTTGAACTACTGCCATTTCTAAATTGCACTTCTAAATATTGACTTAATGGCGAGACTCGGAGTGTCATAACACAGCTCACCGGAGCAAGGAAGACTTTCCAGGCCTCGTGGAGAGGTCTGTGCAATGTCCTGGAGGAGATGAGAAGGAAGAGGAGGATTTGAGAAGAAAAACAAGATCAAGTCCTGTTTAGAAGAAATGCCACTGCCCTTCACTTCATCTCGCTGAGACAGATGAACGCGCACTGTGCTATCCACTGTGGCTGGAGGGGACCCAGGGGAAGGGAGAAAGGGGACAGCGACCCAGAACCCTTCAGCCATCAGCCAGTAAGAATGGAAGGTGCCCAAGCCACACTGGCTGGGCTGGGCGGCAGGGCCATGAGAGAGCCCCAGCTCTCAGAGAGGCTTCATTTGCACATCCAGTTTAGGACTGGACAGCATTTAAGAAACAAGAGACTTTTCACCTGATTTCTCTCCAGATTCAACACGACTAGATCTCGAGCTGATCCTCATTGAGGTCACTGAGGAAATTCTAGGAGGCTATCTTTTTAGCTCCTTTCCTCCTGACAGTTACCACTACAAACTCCCTTAGCTGTTGAACTGGGAATCAAAGGAAGCAGGCAGCCCTTCCTTGCCAGTAAGGAGCTGCTTTGGAGAAGCAATGAGATTATTTTACATGCAAATTAGCTTTGAGATTTTTTTTTTTTTTTTAGGTACTGTGTGATCTATATATTCAAGTTATTTGTTATCATTAAGGGGCCAGATTCTCCCGCAGGAGATAAAGAATAGTGCTCTGGAACTGCCCCTTGGAGAAAAGCCTAGAATATGGCAACTGCCCCCCTCTGGGATCTTCCCCCATCTTTCCCTGACCATTGTCATCCATGGATCTCCCAAAGGCCATCGGTGGGAGGTCACGTGTGGAAGAGGCCTCTGCAGAGCTGGGGAGAAATCATGGGGAGGAGCTCTTAAAAGTCCTGCAATAGAGAGTGTTAAGTTGGCCAAATGCCGTGGAAGATGACTCTGTGGCATTGGGGCGATATTCACCTTGACTGTCCTCAAGTTTGTTTGAAGGTGGGCCCTGAGGCAGCACGCCCAGCCTGTTCACTCTCCTACATCTATGCCTGTGAGCCCTTGTATTGTTGACAATGGTTTCTGAGAATGACCTCAAAGAGCAACACCATCTTTTGGCTTCAGGCCATATCACACTGGGCTGAACCTCGAGCTTGGCTCCACCAGCCTGATCTGCTTGGCTGATGCACCGTCTGGCTCCCTTGATTTCCCGTCCAACTCTGAGAAACACTGAGTCTCCATTTAAGGTCATGCAGTCCTCTGAACTCCCTCCCTTGCTCGAAAGCTTCTTGTCAGGTCAGCCGAGGGAGCCCTGCAGGCAGAATCCCAGGTGCCTTCTGAAGAAACCCTGGCCCTGCCCCTGAAACCATATCTACCAGCGGGCCCAGCCTGCACTAGCCTTTCCAGGCTCACCTAGTGATGCCAATCTCTGGCCTGTGGCGGCCTTGAGCACCCTGAACGGCCCTCCATGTGACCACCTCCGTCCAGCATCTTCCAAACTCCTGCCGAAGGCCCACGTCCTCAGTGTGGGCCAACTGTGATTCAGCCTCGGCTTACTCATCCTTCTCTTCCCTCTCCCGGCCCCGCCTGCTGCCCGCCCCACCTGCCACCATGCTGTCACAGTTCTACCTGCTGCTTCTCCGCAGTTAGCCCTTCATTTCCTCTAGACGTTCCCTGACACCTTCTTCCATAGCAGCTACCGCCAATGTCAATACTACCATCAAGCGTTAGGAAGAGGAGTGTCTGCTGCTATGTGCATGGAAAAGTCAAATTGCCCACCTATCTAGGAACAAAGCCGACCGGTGGGAAGACAGTGGTCAGATGATGATCTTGTTATCACCCATCCTCTCCTCCTTAATGAAAGATTTTCCCCTGCCAAGATAAGAGTATCCTGGAGACTCCTCACCTCACTGCCATATGTAAAGTCATTTCATTTCTCATGGGATATTAATACAAGGGGACTTCATTAAATACACTACCAAAAAGTTGTAAGTGCCTTGAGCAGTTTTTTCAGTATAGTAGAAGAACTCAAATCTATGAAAATGGTGTGCCAAATCCTCTTGTAAGGCAAATCAGCATCCTATAATGATCTCTCCTGGACATCTAAAATCTTGCACAAGGAAAAGCATGTTATATTGCAGCCACACTGCTGAACCAGGGGGACCGGGCAGTGGTATTGTGCCTGCCCTGGCGTGAGAGAGTTCAAAACAATTTTTTTTGCAAACATGGTCCCAAGAAATATTTCTTGAATAAAGATCCTATTTTCCAAGCCCCAGCTCGGTCTTCAACCACATATCCCATGTGCTTTGTCTTCAGCGACTCCGTGGGGGGCGTTTGGAGATTTGGAAGGGGGGGGGCCTGCATGTACTCACCCGGCCAATAGTACATGTAGACCTTCCTCTGGGCCTTGGTCAGAGTGACCCACAGCGGCTCCGACCCATTCCACCAGACAGGCAGCAGGCTGTCTCTGTTGACACCGATGTCAAATGACTTGTTGGTGTTGGGGTCCCACATGTAGTTCCCAGTCATCTGATGCACCTCACAGTGTCGCCCTGTGTGAACAGAACACCAAGCTTGTCAGTTTATAGTTCAGGTATTCTCAGACGGTATCTTTGTTTTCTGTTTACAAAAGCCATTCAATTGCACTTAGGAAGTATAGGACAGCAGAAATCAAATTGGCTTCTCATTTTTTTAATCATAGACATTCCCTCTCTCTTAGCTGTACCATAAAGGCACACTGTGGAGTGAGAAGCCCAAGAACTGATCTAGGGTGGGATCATTTGGTGCTACATCCATTTGCCAAGGCTGAAGCTATCCTGAGTTAAACCGAGAACACTGGGTGCAAAATCTGCCTCCCTGTTCATGGCTTGAACTCCAAAGGTGAATCAGTATGGAAATGGCAGATCCCTGGGGAACCAGGGTTAAGTCCTCAACCCTGAGTGCTCTGTCTGGGCACCCCTTGCAAACTGTCCCCCTACAAGATCAAAGCAGATGCTGGGCATGCGCCCCACTTCTTCCCACATAAGGGGAGTTACCGATGTAGCGCTGAGCAATGACAGAACCATGGCATTTGGAGCAGAACAGCGAAAAATAGATTCAACTTTGCAAAAAACACAACAAGCCATGCAACAGTCCAAATGGAGTGTTTCAGAGACGGGAGGGCTGCCTTGGTCGGGCACGGCTCTGCCCCAGAAGAGAAGCCAGACGTGAAAGACGCAAGTGCTTGGACTCTTCCGAAATACAAGGCTTAAATTATTTATCTCGTGGCAATCTGTTACATCTTTAAAGTGAGAATAACACAAACATTGGCAAGGGCATCAAGAATCGCTGCGATTTTAGTGAGCGCCATTTGGCACTGGAATGAAACGCGCTTCCCGGAGCCGCCTGTACTTCATCAAAGTGGGTGTTTGTTTGTTTGCTGCTGGTGGTTCTTCGTGGCTGCCCCTGCCCAACACACACATGCTTTCTTTTTTAACAAAAACAGGGAAAAGCCATAAAGTACAATTTCGAATATTTGGAGACCCCACATATCCTAAAGGAATAATCCTTGTATTGTATCCCAGAAACCCAGGCCTCATGCCAATCAGGCTTTGAATTTAAGGCTCAGTGATTCAAACATAGCAGGGTTTTTTTCTTTTCTTTTTTTTTGGTCTGTTTGACCAAAAGCTTTACAATTAGTTTCCTGATCCTAACCAAAGCTCTCATATGTGGACTGATAAGTTTTTTAGCTAAAACAGAACCTCTGTGCATATTCTCCAACGGTCAGGAAATGCACTGGTTTCGTTCATTCCTCAGGCCGGCACTCGAGGAGCCCCTGCGGACAATCCCCTGCGACAGGTGTGGAGATCCCGGTCCGAGTTAAGCGGGGCCTCCTCCTAAGTGCTCGGGGTGCGAGGCTACTCAGCAGAGGCTCCCCTGCATGGAAGAGCGGGGCCCCTTGGGCCTGGCTGAGACGGGGACCAGGTGGCGGCTCCGACCTTAGACTCAGGGGACATTCACCCACTCGGCGGCCGAGGGTAAGGCCTAGCATGTTCTAACTCATTGAAAGGGGGGCACACTTCTTACAGCCCCCGCTACCCTGTTATCTTTTCCCACATAGCAAAGTTTGAGGACACTAAGAGAACCCCTCTCCTGTGTAAAAGTTCTTCATTTTTACTCAAAATACTCCATCACGCATCCAAAAATTTTTTTTTAATCATTCTAAGGATGCTCACTCACCCTGTTCACAAAGATAATCACGACCACGTGACAACTGTGACAAATGTCTCCTTTGTGGACTCTGTCCCTGTGGGTGTTCTCCGACACCCTCCCACCTGCAGGGAGGGCGTCTCACCGGAGCTGGTGCATGAACAGATCTGACCGGCACCTGGGTTCGTGCGGCCTGAGTCCGCTCTTACCCAAGCTGGCTTCCCCGCCTGCCCTGCTCCTCCTGCTCTTTCCCGGTTACTGCCCAGGTAACGTGGCGGCTGGAAGGGCAGAACAGAACAGAGTGTCTGGCTGCTGCAGCTCTCATCTCCGTGTTCCCACCTGGACCACGTCTAGTTTTGTGCACCTGCGACTCTCCTTGATTTTCCCTGGGCTGTGCAGCAGCTGCTTTAGGGGACCCTCTGCTCCAGGAACTTTCCTGACGCCATCACCAACTGAGAATCACAGGTGGTCTTCAGGGGTGGGGTATAAAAGCTCCACTTCTGCTTTTTCCCCAAATGACAGCTCTGTGGGGCTTTAACATCTGTGCTGGGAGGCGCAGTACTGATGTGAAAACGGGGGCAGCTCCTGGTCTGAGAATTTCCAAACACAGTAAGTGTTTTTGTCCTTTTTTCTCACTTAATCCTAAAGCTTTCGAGGGTGTGAACACTCAGGTTCCACAGCCAATGAGGAATGTTTTAACTATACAAATGCTTTCTTAATTCCTGCTGTGTAATCACCTTTACCAAGTAATAATCATCTTTAATTTCTAAATCTATCCCTTGTGCTTTCCTGGGATGAATGGGGCTATGACTACTAAGCATCAGACAGTTGGTGGAAAAGCTACATTTTAGGAACATCAACTCACTCAAAACATGGCAACGCAAAACACAGTTAACGAAATGCCAACCAGGAGCCTGGAGATGACCCTTCCGGAACATACGCGTTTTCACCCATGGGCAGCACCCAGGTGCCTGGTGTTCAGAGTTGCACCTAGGCCTCTGGGGCCGCCTGCTGGAAGTCTGGGTCACAGCCACGTGTGATGGACATGCTGACCCAGGCTGTGACACAGTGTGTCCAGCTCTGGGAGATGATGGGCACAGTGGAGAGGTGGCAGGCAAGTGGTCAGACAGACCATGGCTGCCCCACTTCACAGGTGAAGTAACTGAGGCCAGAAAGGTAACTGGCCTGGGGTCACAGCAGGAGGGGAGCGTAGCCAGACTCCAAGGCAGGTGGCTGGGCCCAGAGTCCGGGCCCTTTGCCCCAGGCATGGCCTAGCACTAACCACCAGCGCAGGAGCAGACACGCAGCACCGGTCCCAGCACTCGGCCAGCCCGCAGGGACAAATCAAGCTGTTATGAAATCTGCATGCTCCCACCCTCGAAGACAGGATGACTTCAGGGGACCAGGTCAGCCCAGGGGTAAGCTTCCAGGGATCAGCTACACAGGTAGTGCCTCACCTGGAGCAGTGAACGGAGGTGCTAGAGGCCAAGCCAGAGGCAGGAGGGGTCCTCACCTGAAGTCCAAAGGCCTGCACCGATTTGACAGGGGCTTGCTTACTGACTTGGTAATAAGCTGCCAGTTCTTGACCACCTCCTGTGTATCTGGAACTAGGGGTCTCTACCTGCCATCTCACTTAGTCCTTATTGTGACTCCCAGAGATAGACAGCATTACACTCATGTTGTGGGTGGGAGAACTAAGGCTCAGAATGGTTAAGTGACGAGACCTGGCCCAAGCAGCTGTTGGAAGGGCAAGGCCCTGATCCAAAGCTGTACTCTTCCCAACACCAGCCCCACTCCAGAAATTGGGTTCTCATCCGCCCATCAGGGCCTGGCTGTTTTAATAGAAACTGCCTCGAAATCCAGGTCTGCTTCTGAGACTCTCACTGAAGTGACCATATGGAGTTCCCCAGGTCTCCAAAAAGCCAGATACACACTGGTCTCTTGCACTCCATTACCGTAACTGTTTCTAACGGTGAGTGCTGCCGGACAAGGGTCCTAACCAGGTGGATGGGAATCTACGTTTCCTCTCCCTCTGGAAAGAGGCCAGCTGTGAAGACAGTTTCCCAAAGCTCTGAAATCTTTGGGTCTCAAGTTAATGAGTGCCTTTTAGAGACCGAACACATACGCATCACCTCAAATTGCCACGGTTCCAAAAAGTAATTAGAGACCCGATTCAGAGCCTGGCAGCCTGGGAAGGTTCTGTAAGGCAGACATTCCCACGACCAGCCTCCTCTGAGTACTTTTCTTTGAGCAGGGTCTCAAGACTAGTGTAGACCCTGGTGCGTACATTTTCAAATAAAGACAGGATGCCCCTGATACTTGAAGAAAATTGTTCATTTTCTTCACTGCTCAAAGCCCCCGAGTCACAAATCGGAATTTGCTTTATGGTTTGCCTCCACCGGGGAATACATCCTGTTTTCTTAACTTGTTCAAAGACGGAATTTGCTATGTTAAGAAAGTAGTCTCGAATGCAATACGCAAGATCAAGCTGAAAGAGAAGTTCACAATTTGCTCCCCTTTAAATGCAACTACTGATGTATGTGCCAGACACGGTCATGATTAGATTCTGAATCACAAATATTTCAAGACTGAGATAACAGGCTTTGATTACAGGGTGAGGTGCAGGCTGCTACAAAAATAACCCGCCGTGTTCAAAGGGGAGAGATTTTTTATTAGAGATGTTTTTTGCTCATAGTTTTGAGGTCATGGGGCTCCAAAGAAAGCACTGTTTGATTTTTCTGGGGGTTACCAGCTTGGTGCCACTATTTAACAACCAAAGTGCAGAAAAAGAGGCAAAATTTTTTTTCCTGCATAAGGAGAATAGAAATGTAAACTTGGCCTTTTCATTTAAACATGTTTTGGTCCTGGAAAGTGAATTTTTACCAAAGCTCTAAGAAGGGTCTAGACAGTTTGATCCATCCTCACCTCTGTGAGAAGTTGGAGCGGAGCCTCACTGAATTATGGCCTTTAAGATGGAATCTCTTTTGAGACACATTTTTATTGTACTGAGCACTTCCGGGGACTTCTAAGGATGGAAAAGTATTTGGAGGGGAAACTTGTTTCTGGTCATATTTTTCATATGGAAGAGAAATGCAGCCAGCACCTTTGTCCTGAAGCACCCTCTCCCTGGTAATAAGTTGTCCATCTTCCCCTGGGCTCCCTCCCTCCCACAGGGACATCAGACTGGCCCAGTGCCTCACACCACTGGGGGTGCTTACCCAGGCAAAAAAACAGGCTCCACCCCCTTCTCATCCTGTTTGCTGCAGGTAGACAGGCGGGGCGGGGGGACTTCTGCACTCTCTTCTCTCCCCAGGACAGGAGTTCTCTTTGCCTTAGAGCAGGGAGTTTGCTGTCATTTTCCAGG